TATATATATATATATATATATATATATATATATACTGCCATTAGAAATGCTTAATAAAACTCAATACAACTTTATAATATTTTCATTCCATGGAAAATAAATTAATCTTTTTATCATATTTTTCCATTAGGTCTTGATGGTTTCTAATAACAGACGAAAACCAAAAGATGTCATTGGCAGTGACTTATTCTAGCTAAGACATTGATGAACTCCCATTCCTACGTAACAAACCGTTAGACTTACTAAAACTATTTGGCTGAAAAAAATATTCAATTGCTGTGCTCTTCTATTTCATTTTTAACTCTAAACATTTTTAAGGCTCAGGCGTTCTTAGTACTAGTAACTTAATACAAATCTCACTTACCGTAGTCTCATCCTCGTGAAGGACCTGGTCGTACTCACTCATAGCAACACAAAATATAATAGCTGTGACATCTTCAAAACAATGAATCCATTTCTTTCTCTCTGACCTTTGACCTCCTACGTCAAATAACCTTAAAAAATGAAAGCCATCGATAAAAACTTGTAATCAGCACAGATTACAATACACAAATAGGGATGTGAGAGCAACATGCTGGCTACAGCAGCTGTAACTACAATATAAGAAGAAAATGTTTACTGCTGTACTCTGTGTTTATTTGTTTAAAAAAGCAACAAAATAACAATGAAAAAGACTCCCAAAAAGCTTCTTATAAATGCTATATTTTATTAATTCACATAAAATGATTTATTAGTATATTTTTTATAAATTACATCAAAATGGTTAAATGGTCCAGACTTGGACAATGTATGTAACAATACTACCATCTCAAACACGAAGTACATGTTGAAACTTTCATAGTATCGTTTTCAAATTTCTAGCATTTGCCTAAAGAGAATGAATTTAGAACAAAGCTTTGAAAGATATCGTAATACGTTCTATTCAAAAGGTTTAATGAACTAGTTCTATTTCAGCAACATAGTGCTTTAAATATTACTCAATTTTCGCCTTTACAATTTTTCAGTAACTTTTTTAACGGCAGTTATATATACACCTGGAAAAAAGTTAAGCACCCCCAAATATTTTTCAGGATTGCTTATTGAAAATAAGGTTTAATTTTCATGATGTTGAGCAATGTTCGTAATTTCAAACATAATTAAAAGGATGTGAGCGTTCAGGTGTGCCATTTA